GAGAGGAGACAGAAGAAAACCATCTTGAGTCTTCAGGTGGAGTGTCAGAGACATAGTATGTGCCCACCAGATTCCTGGAGGGACAAAACTTAAATGACATAAACCATGAAAGTACATGAAATTAGAAACATATATTGTGAGATTTGCTATTCTGGGGCAACTGTCTAAAATTCATGTCGTTTGTTAAGATAGAAACCAAAACTCAAAAGACTATGAATATTTTGCTATGATGCAGCTGAAATGATCCGTCCACCTCACTTCTCAGGGAGATCCCTGACATCATCGTGTCTAAGTGATCAGATTCTCCAATCCGCACATCCCCACTCCAGGCCTTTTAGAGCAAAGCTACTGACAGGCTGGACTGCAAAAGGTACGCACTTTGTTCAGTCACATGGCTAATTCTTGGCCTGACCCTTTGGACCACTTCCTTAGATCTCCCTTTCACTTAGACTGGACACACCCAGGCCTGCATGACACCAAAAGTTAATTGATAATGTGGGTAATTCGGCCAGGAAGATCACCTACGAGACTGGGTGGGGGGAGAGAAACTCTGAGGGGGTGGGGGGTTGGTGTATAACAGCAACCCCGAGAGATCTCCATGACATATTTCTCCCTGCCCCCATCCAAAATCCTCAGACCTACTCTCAAAGCTGCACAGGAGAGACAAAAGCCAATAAGTGGAGGCTCCTCTCACCCCAAAAACTAACAAGATGCTGCCTCCAGGGTATTCATTTATCCTCTCTGTAAAATGGGCAGATTCTCTCTCTCCCTGTACCTCATGAGATAAAAGATGTGAATGTACACAGATACTTGGAAAGTTAAAAAGCATCATACAAACTCAAGAGGGCTTTCTCCCATGCCAAAGTTGGGACTTGAATCCAACCGCTGACTCATAGCCCAGTGTTCATTCTACTCGGCCACAGCTGCTGAGCAAGGAGGTAAGCGGTGTCAGGCCAGGGCAGGGCCAGCCCAAGGCAGCAGGCAAGAGCTTGTGAGTAACCCCCTGGGATGGAGAGTGTGACCTGGGAAATGAAGGCAAATCCTAATGCTCCCTGGGCTCTGGGTGAAGCTGCAGAAACAGCACTGAATTTCCCTCCTCTTGATATTAAAATGCCTCATAATGCTCTCTCCATGCCCCAGCTATGTTGTGGAGCTGGAAATTAGCATTCTGTTCCAATACACTGTGGCACCTTCGCTTTGGGGATTGAAATGATGGTTTTTAATAAGCTGGCCCCAGGCACCTGTCACCAGTAATGGAAGTTCTGCCCAGGGAAGACAGATCGCTTCTTTTTAAAAGACCACAGGGCAATAAATATCCCAAGTCATAACTCAGCTTCCAAATCAGGCCTCAGGAGAAGCACTTCCATCTTCTAGCACTAACCCTGGGGCTGCTGGGCTTACTGATCCTGAGCACTGACCTCACTCACAGCTCTTCCTTGCCTCCACTCATTGCGCTTGGTGAGATCTACATAGACATGCATCAGTGCCTTATGATTGCATCAGTGGAGGTAGGCTACAGGGGGAGCCAGAGCCATAAGTTTTAATGCTCAGCTATCAGCAAACTCAAATTTCTGCTGCCCCAAGGACCCAAGTCAGACTTTAGAATAAGCTCACTGCAGAAGCTCAAGCAAACGGAACCATACTCATTAATGTTATATTTTTCTTCTTAAATCTGACCACTTGCACCAGTTGTGGGGAATGGATACTGGTGCATGGGTAATTTGAATTTTAAAGACATCACAGAGCTAGTGAAGTGAAACATATACCTACCCTATAGTCCAGAACTTCTATAGGAAACGAGTCAATCTCTCCACCAAAAGACCTGTTCAAGAATATTCAGAATAACCAAAAACAGAAACAACTCAAATGTTCATGAAGAAGTGAGTGGATGAATTATTGTGGTATGTCCATATAATGGAATAACATAAAGCAATTTAAAGGAATAATCTACTAATACATGTAACAACGTAGATGAATCACACAGACATTTTGTTGAATGGCATAAACCAGACACAAGGAGTAAACACAATATGACTCTATTTATAGGAAGTTCAAGAACAGGCAAAACGAATCCATAGCAAGAGAATCAGCATGGCAATTCTCTCTGGAATATTATACTAGAAAGGGCCAGAGGGAACCAGCGGGGCATGGGAAACATTCTACTTCTTGTTCTGAGAGATGGTTATGTGGGTAAATATTCCTTGAGCTGTAGACTTAAGATTAATGCACTTTACTGAATTATGTTATACCTCAAAAAGGGGGAAAGCTTTTAGTGTAAAATACCCACAGTATATTTTTCTAACAAGACGTCTTTAATGCCTTTCTTCATCACATGTTAAAAATTCCACTTTAATCTCGTCCTAAATGAAAAAGGAGTGAAATGATAATTTTAAAAAATCTTTAAATTACAACTGAATACAGAAGCACAGCAGTAACTGAGGTGACAAGTAATTTGAAAGATTTTTTTTCCCTCTACTCCAGCGTCCCAGGATTAAGCATATGTTCTGGCCAGCATCCACCACCACAAGATAGTGCCAATAAAAGGAGACTCAGACACCAGACACCATTCCACTTCCCCACAGGTCCTCTTCTTCACCAGAAGGGCAGTTGTCCGAGCAGCCTCCAAGTCCTACCTGCTATCCTTTTAGGTGAAAAAGTAGATACAAACTAGCTTCAAAGTGAATTTGTTTCCGAAAATTTTTAATTTTTGCAGTATATAGAAAGCAACCCGCTTCTATTTTGCATGACAATGTTAGTCAGGTCAGCTATTCATATGTTAAGTTTAACTCTCTTTGTAAAACTCTTCAATGCTATTTTTATTCCTCTTCTACTCACAGGGAAATTCAAAGTCACATGCATGAAACTGTAAGAGAAACACCTTCTTTACTTAACAAGGGTTTGCACTGGGGTGAGGGAGAAGGACTAGGTTCTTTTTGCTCCCCCTCATCATGAGCTCTCAAATATTTACTTTTGGCCTCTATGAACCAAAGATAACAACCTAGCAAGGGGTGAATCCATTCAGTTTGGGTTGGTCTCTACCCGTTCCTCACTTCCTCCACTTATTTCCTGAATTGTTCTTTGTTTATGTAAACAGATAAAGACTTGTGGGACTGTACACAGAGAAAAGACAAATATCAAATGATTTCCCTCATTTGTGGAGTATAACAATGAAGCAAAACTTAAGGAACAAAACAGCAGCAGACTCACAAACTCCAAGAAGGGACCAGCGGTTACCAAAGGGGAGGGGTGGGGAGGTGGGGTGGGGAGGGCAGGAGAAGGGCATTGAGGGGTATTATGATTAGTACACATGGTGTGGAGGGGATCTTGGAGAAGATGGTGTAGCAGAGAGAAGACAAGTAATGACTCTGTGGCATCTTACTACACTGATGGACAGTGACTGCAATGGGGTATGGGGGGGACTCGAGAATATGGGTGAATGTAGCAATCACATTGTTTTTCATGTGAAACCTTCATAAGAGTGCATATCAATGATACCTTAAATAAGAAAAAAAGAGTAAAGTGCACAAATCTTAAATTTTCAACTAAATGAACTTTTCACATATGTACACACCGATGTAACCACCTCATGTAACCAGTGGTTACATGATTCCATGATCAAATAATGGAATATTTCAAGCACTTTAAAAAGTCTCTTTTTGTTCCCCTCCCAATCAATACCAGGAAGGGAGAACATTAACCTAAAAAATTTGAAGTATTTTATTCCAGGGAGATTCTATTCTCATCTCACTATCAAACACACTTAAGGATATAACAATGTTCTCTTTGTCTTTTATGGCTTATTTTTTGAAGTAAACATGGAAACTCTCTAAATGAAACGACTAATAATTACAGAAATTTTCCAACTGACGACAGTCCTAGAGGACTGGATACTATTCAATCATTAAAATCATGCTTTTAAAGAATATTTAATGACACTGAGAAGTGTTCATAATCTAATATTAAAATAAAAAGGCAAGATACTAGATTGCTCATGCAGAAGCTCAATTTTGAAATTATACACATATACAAGGGAAAACAACTGAAGAAAGTACAAGATTTGTTTGGGTAAACTTTTGGGCAGTAGGATAAGGTACAGTTTTTATTCACTTTTTAATTTTTAAAAATATTTTTTAAATTGACAATGAGAAGGTGTTACTTTTCTAATCAGGAAAAAAACTTTTCTTTTTAAATGTGGGGACAACTGAAATGACCAACATTAGGGAAATGGTTTTCTGAATTATGACAACTGATTTCATTGCATATTTTTTAGAAACGGCATTTAGAAGACTGCAATAACTCGGCAAATTTCTTACGACATAGGAAACATTGTGTTTTAAAACCAAGATAGTATGCGTATAACTAAACTGGGGAGGGGAGACACGGAAGTGGCTAATGACAGTGGTTACAAATTGTAAAACATGCACATTGAAATAAAGAAGGGAAAAATTTTTTTAAAGACAGTTGTGTATGAAGTTTTTAAAGTATGTGTGTGTTTAAAGCCCCCATATTCTATTTTCTGCAATCTGGATAGGTTTTTTTCAGTTTGAGGGGTTGTTTAAGGCAGGAATGTTGGGGTAATTATTTCAATGTGTTTAGTCTGAAGCTCTTGGGGAATGGTGTAGATGTGGCCTCTTTTACTCTGAATCAGATTCCTCAGAAATGGCTGTATGGAATAAACACTGTAAATCCCTAACTTTCATAAATTCTAGAACCGAACTAACGCTAAACTACCCAAGTGCCAAAGACTTAAAGACCGTTTCTGGGAAACTCAAGCTCTGAGACCTTCCCGTTTTTTGTTTGTTTGTTTTCCCCAAATAAACGGCTTTGTTTCCAATCGAATTTTCTCTTCTGCAAAGCTGAGCGGAGCGGAGGGCGGGGACGTGAAAATGAAACAACAGACTAAAATTGAAAAGCTTTTCCCGCAGCTTCTGCGCACCCCGCACCCCCACCCCCAACCCCGCCCAAAACACACAAGTACAGACACACAAAGACCGGATTGCTTAGGGCTCTCCTGGTCTGCATGAAAACAGTGGCCGCACTTGCCCTAAAAATGGGGGCCAAGTCTGCGAACTTGACCCAGGAGCCCCTGCCTCTTATCCCCAACCGTCCAACAAAGGGAAAGGGTTGGCTGGGTTCTTTCCAGGACTTTGTTCTACCCTGGGTTCCTTCCAGGTTGTTTCTTCTATCCAGAGGGGACAGAAGGATGGGGAGGAGGAGAAGACCACAAACCCCTTTGGTCCAGGTAAAACCCAAATTAGCGGGGATGGGGGTAGCGGAGGACACGGAGACGACCCTCCTGACAACTCTCTCAGGCCTCTTTTCCGGTTTGCCCCTGAGGACCTGCCTCCGGCATTTTATCTGGCCCCCAAATAAGGAGGCCAGGAGCTTTTCTTCGTTTCTCCGGGATTTAGTGCCCTCTCGGCCGCCCGGGGCCGCCGGGGCTCCCTGCTGGAAGGCCAGGGCCTGGGAGAGTCCGCGCGCCCCCGCGTCCACCCCGCGCGCCCCGTCGCCCCTGGACCGGACCTATTCAGCCAGGAAAAAACGCCGGGATCGAGTCTTTGATCCTCCCTTGCTCCAGGATCCTGGATTCTTTGAAAAAGAAAACAGCGAGCACACCGATACCGTCTCCGCGGGCCTCTGTGAGCAGCCCCTGCCGTCTCCCTGCGGCTGGGAAGGGCGCGCCGGGGCTGGAGGCTGCCCGCGCCAGTGTTTCCTCGGCCCCGGATGCGGCGGGACGAGGCATTTACAAGCTCAAGTTTCCAGATCCTGAGACGACCGAGGGCTCCGCGAGGCTCACCCGCCGAGGGAGGGCGCGTTTAGAATACGCAGGAGATGGCCTCGGGTGGCCCTCTAGAATGTTCTCTCATAATTCATCTGCTTTCGCTCCTACTCTTTTGCTATTTATGTATTTGTTTTTCCTGGTCATTAAGAAATCTTTAGGGGATTTTATTGCCTAACAACAAGGTAAGGAAACATGAATTATGATGAAAATGAAATGGTTCCATTACGTTGATCCTGATTAAAATATTGGAGTAATTTTCCCTGTGGCCTCAATAATAGGGTTTTCCAGCGCAGATCTGATGAGTTTTTCTACAGGAGGCAAGGATCAGAAAAGCTCGTTGATAAAGCAACGCAGGCTCCAGCCTCTCGCGTTCCAGATCCTTCCACAACCCTCCTCCGCCCCTTTCCCTCCACAGTCTCCGCGTCCCAGTCTAGCTCCCCAAGGGGTAAAGGAATGTTTATGGTCTGACTCAAGTTCAATGACAACACCCTGCTTGGAGGGGGAGGGGCAGCGAACTTCAACCATCAACCAGACAAAGAAGAGCTCAGGTCCCTGGCCACGCAACTGGCTGGGCCCACCTAGGATCGGGGGGTTTAGGGTCCCCGGGAGGGACACCAATCCCACTCCCCGAGATCTGTCTCCTTGACTCCCGCCTGGAGCCTGTGATGTGCAGCCGGTAGCGCCGGCACCAACTTTTGGTGCGTGCCTGCCTGTTCCGAGTGAGGTGGTCACAAACTGAATGGGAAAGAGGCTGATTCCAGCGCAGGCTTCGCCCTGAGTTCAGGACCCGGTGAGACACCCCTGCTTTCTACCCTGCCAGCTCTGACCCAACCAGAGCCTGGAACCAGACCATTCTTCTCTGCTACCTGACTTTTTCTGTCGCCTAATCCGATCCCTAAATGCCACGGGGAGAGGGTGAATCGTTCTCACTCCCTACTCTCATTGTCCTGGTTGTACTCATTTGCCCCACCCCACAATGTCAGAGGTCACAGAATATAGTGCCCCTGCCTCAGGTCACACCTGAGGAAGCTGCAGACCCAAGATCTGGCAGAGTGAGGGGTAGGGCTCCGTGGAAGTGGGAAGGCAAATGGCATCTCCATTGTCTTTCCTCCAACCTTTCACCCACAATGGAAGGGTTTGCATGCAGTAGACGTCAATAAATAGGTAGTGAACTGAATTAAATTTCCACTTGTGTTTAATCCTGTGTTTGCATTTATGCAAATCTGCGCAGTGCATCCAGGAGGGGCTGGATTTAGGGAGTCTGAGTGCACCTGTATGACATCAGGGGATGGCTCCACGTGGAAACAGATGTTTGTCAGTGTCCAGAGGGACTTTGTGAAAAGAGATATGTTGGGGCTCGGGGAGAGGCTGGACTTCCTATTCTCTTCTGGTTAGATGCTAAGAGCTCCTGCCTTGGGGGCCTGCCCTGCCACTGCCTTCTGAGTGACACCAGTCAAGTAACTTACTCTCTTTTAGTCTCAATTTCCGCATTTTGTAAAGTGTGTTCTCAAATGTGGTTTTTGACGGCGTGGGGGCGGTAGCTCTGAGGGGCCATGGGCAGGAGCTGGCTTGGAGGAGAGGGTCAGACAAGTCCCGAGTCTCTGCAGATTACCTTGCCTACACTGAGACCAATGAGTTAGCAGTGCCAGTGGCTCAGAACGGGGGCATGTGGCCCCCCGCTGTTTCTGTGCCGGGCTCTGAGCCCAGGTGCACCGCGTGCCAGTGGTGGGTGGCCCTTCCAGTTGCTTCTCAGATCCTGGCACTCACCATGCTTCTGAAAAGGGTACAGGAACGGGAGAAAGAAAGCAGAGGTTCAGAAACTAAGGTGCACTGCTTTATTTTTTTAAAACAGCCCCAGACTTCCCCTTAAGGGCGGGTTAGTGATAATTGTTTTCATCACAGCTCATTTTCATAGAACTTTCAAAGTAGGTATTTTGTAAAGTATCAGTATAGTTTTAAATAAGAATAATAACAATACCATTAACAATATTATTAATTTTGTCTGTGCCAGGACTGCATCCAGCCGGAGACAGAAGTAGGTCATATGGGGGCCCTGCGGCTGGGCTCCCACCCGCCAACCTTTCTCCCACCAAGGCAGTGCCCGTCCCGCATGCTGCGAAACACTTCCTTTGTCCCTTTCTGCCCAAGCAGCTGCCGCTGTGCAGGAACCCAGGAGGACGTGCCCCTCCTGGGTGGTCTCTTTGAGAGCCTGCCGCCCACCCTACGCTGTCCTCTGAGTTGGCAGAGGTCCCCAAATTCCTAGGAGGACATCTGCAGAGGGAGGACCCTCTGAGGCGGGTCCCAGACTGAGAGCGGTATCATCCTTGACCCACAGATCAGCAGTTTACCTTATTAGGGAGAAACACACTCTTGGAGGTAGTGAAATGGGCCAGTCTCTGGTCTGAGAAATGGGCTCATAACACTCTTGCTCCCTTTGCAAAGGTCAGGACCAGAATTCAGCTTGCCTCGAGGCTCTGAGTTTGGCAGGCACGGGGCCAGAAGCCTTCAGCCTCCGAACGGCGCAGGGCTCTGCTCACGCATCTTAGGCTGGCGGAGGAACCACAGGAGCGCAGCACTGGGTGCCCCCCTCCCAGCACAGTCTGGGGCGGGGCTCAGCGAGAGGGCGCACAGCCGGAGGCTCCCACCTCCCGGCTGCGCTGCAAGTCCCCGAAGACTGTAAAGTCGCCTCCCCACTGCAGACTGAGGCCTCCTCCTCTCCGCGCCAACCTGGACGGCCCCCTCTCTCCTTCCCAAGGCCGGAGGTGTCTCCTCCTTCCTTCACCTTTCTCCAACTTCCCATAAAGTGGTTAGGAGGGTAGGGGTGGGGGCTGTGGAGACCACCAGCCTGAAACTTAAAGGTCAGTGGCAAAGTCCCTGACCCTCTCCTCCCCTCCGGGCTCCGTCAGACGCTGCCTCTCCCTCCCCATCATTCTGGGGGCAATTGAACGCTTGCTGCCTCATGTCTCCCTCTCATTTGGGGGCAACCTAGGCGAGGCGGCAATTTAGTGGAACTCTCCTTCACCGTCTTCTCCAACCACTCCCCCCCCCTTTCTACTCAAAAATAGCCGGTAGCTGAGCGGAAGAAAAGCTGGTATCAGCTGCCCATTGGACGTTTTAAAACCTCCAGGCCCAGGCCAGCGCCTGGGGAGAGGGGCGGGGGTCCCCCTCCGGTGGGAGGCCCAGGGCGGCTCCAGTGCTTTCTCCCTCTTTTCCCGAGGAGGGACTATACAGGTGGGTGAGAATATGGTACAAATTTCTTACAACAAGGGAACCTCCACCTTTCAACCCCTCCCCAGCAGTCGTCTCCGCGCTTTATTTCAAGTTTACGGTAACGGGTTCATTTATTTAATTCACTGTTGTAGCCCTGGGGTTTCTATTAGACGGAACAGGGGCGGAGCACGAAGAGGTTCCCCCCGAAGGAAGCTTAATTAAAGTGTAGCACTTAGGATTAAATAAAACTTTAATAAAGGGGGAAGGGGAGAGCAGCCTGCTCCGCGTTGGAGGAGGGGAGCGGGCGCCGCTCGGGCAGCTGCCGCAGACAAAGCTTCCGGCCCCGGAAGGACTCAGAGCTGGGTGAGGCGGCAGGCACCGCGGGGCAGAAGCTCGGCTGGCTGAGGCCTCGGCAGTTCCAGGACGGCTGGAAGCGTAAGCCCGCGTGAGCGAAGGACCCCGGAGCTGGAGCCCCGGGTGCCTCTCTGCTGGGCTGCTGCCGGAATCTGGATTCGAAGACAGCTTCCGCAGGCCTTCTACACAGCCGTCCCCTAATTTGGCCTCTGGAGGCCTAAAACCTGCTTTCGACTGAGAAAGGTTTTCGGTCCTGGAACCAGCTTAGACGCGACCCTTCGATCCTGTTTCGAAGCTGCTGAGACTCTCAGCCTGAGGATAAACCGGCTCCGACTAAGGGAGAGGCCATGGAGGGCAGCTCCCAAGAAATTTATGCTTCACGGTGAAAAGAAGCCCGGTATATTTGTGCCCCTCTGCTTTTATTTGTCCGCGAGAATGTTGTCTGTATTTGCCTGTTTGTGAATTTCGTGTTCACACGTTGCAGTCTGAATAATTTTAGCAAAACACCCTCCTGGAGCTTAAAAAGTGGCCCTATTTAAAAGCAAATCGCTGCAGGCAATTAAATGTAGATATATGGGTTTTGTTGTAATTTAGACACTAATTAGTGAAAGATTTTTAAATAGTCAGTCTCGGTGGAAGTGGGTATAATTCTTCTCCGGAGTAATATTGGTATTTGGAAAGGGATTCCATAAAGGGGTTTAATACAAAACTAAACATTTTTTGCACAGGCTCTATACAAGTAAATCAATCAGAAAAAACTGGGGGGCCAAGGGGGTGTGTCGCTAATTGTTCCGGCAAGGAAGATAAATATAATACTCCAGTGGAACGAAGACCTGAACGGAGGGCAGATGGCGCCGCGGCCTTGCTTGAGGAGCCCTGACCGCCCTGTTCTTCTATTCGATGGAGCTGGTGCTGCGCGCCTTGCCGTCTTCCTGGGTCTCTCGGCGGCTGGCCCGATTCATCTGCCGATACCTTGGCCCAATTCCAGGCGACTCCGGATCCTGGCGCGCTCGCACGCAGCCCCGAACTCCCCAACCCCGGAGGCCCAAGGCTCCGGGCGACGGGAAGCAGACGCTCGGTTTGGGGGAGAAAGCCGAGCCGCCCAGCAGGCTTTCCTGAAATGGCGAGCTTCTACCGGAAGGGGGCGCCCTCGTCTTTTTAATAGTCGAAACACATTGGTAGAGAAACAAATCTCTAAAATCCCGAATCTTTTTTCTGACGTTATTACGAGCGCATAATCAAAGAGTCCCGAAACTTTAAGTCCCTGATCGCCGCGTAGAGGAGTTAGAGCCCTGGGAGTCCAGAGTCTCGAGGTCCGTGACTCCTTCAGGCCTTTAGGCCACCTCGGTTAGTTCAAGCGGCAGCCCTTCTTGTGGCCTTTCCTCTCCTCAGATGGGGTCCCCCCACCGTGGTGCTCCCCCTCATTTGCTCCACTACCTATCCACATGCCGATCCGCGCTGAAGTCCCGTCATTTCTGAAGCGGCGAGGGAGGAGGTTGCTCTCACTACCACGGAAAAGCTGGGGGATCAAAAGCTAGTCGCGTGGGACTTCGCTTGAGGGAGAGCGTGGAAGGCAGAAAGTAACCTCTTAGCGGGGCGCACCACCGAGGAGCTTAAACTGGACCACGGGGCTTGGTAGGTTTTCTTAAATCACGACCTTGCCCCCACCACTACCACCAAGCACACAACTCCAAGGAGACCCAAGGTGGGAGGGTGGCCACCCCCAGCCCTGGGCTCCTCTTTGGTACATAGATTTAGAAGCATCTGAGTCACTTCCCAACTCACTCCCAGGACAGGAGCCAGGACCAGGATTCCACCTGACCGCCAGCTGTACACAGGGTTTCCTGGAGAACAACGAGCCTGAGTCAGCTCCAAGCTGCCGTCGAGACTGTGGTCCTCCACCGGCTGCTCGACGCCCTCCGGGTGGCATCTCAGAACGCGGGTCGGCGGGTCCTCTCCACTCGTAGCCTGTGCGCTGGATAGCAGGGAACGTGTTTGGAGAGATCCCCGAGCCCAGGCTGCAGGAAGACCCAGCCCAAATCCGCTGGCTCTTTGGCGCCACCGAGGTGGCGAATCCCACCGCGCACTGGGCCCAGGTACAGGACCTCAGGGAACCAGCACGGAGGTGAAGACTCTGTGTGAGGGTCTCTGGCTCTGCGGCACTGCCTGCAGTCAGTCTGTCCAGGTTTCTGCAGTTCCGCGCTATGGATCTCGGTCTACGTGGACGGGGAGATCAGAGTTGGTGCTAACCTGTCCTCCGGCCCAAGAATTCAGGATAGGTGGAATGAACCAGCGCAAAATGAAAAGGAAACGAAATCTGTAGCTATGATCGTCTAGGACGTCTGGGGTTTCCCACCCTGAGTCTGGGTCTTTGGGCTTCCGCCACACGCTGTTCTTTCATCCGGAAAAGGGCCTGCCACCATCTCCCAGGCCTGAGACCCAACTGTTCTTCTGGGTGTCAAGAGGAGGCAAGTAGAGGATACACGGGTGGTGAGGGGGCCATTTTCTCTCCTGCCCCACAATACCAGCATGTCTGAGACAGCGCCTGCTCGTAGGATAGGAAACTACACTCGTTCTGTAACCATTTGTGTCTGGGAGGGGCCGCGTCTACAACGCCTAAACTACCTATTTTATGCAGCTCCCAAATGCCCAATGATCCATGTCCTGCTTAGAACAGAACCACCAAGAAAACTTAAGAGAACTCCTGGAAAGTTTTGAGGAGGAAGTGAGAAATGGTGACTTATCCATGCACTTTCTCAAACTCCATTTCTTTGGAAGGAAGGACAGACCTGGGAGGGCAGCGCTGGACTTCATTTTCACACAAGAACAAAATCTAAGAGTTGGGGAGTGGAGACTTCCAGGGCCAGCGGGTACAAGCTAGGAGGTGGGCAGGAAGAGAGGAAGGGTCACCATCCAGCATTCTCCTCATGCCCCCTGCCATCTTAGAAAAATGCTAAGTAGGCAAAGTGGGCCCAGTACTGCCTTGCTCCTCTCCGGCAGTCCCTGGAATGGGGGATGGAAAGCGGTGCATGAAAGTGGTGCAGAGGAAGCTGCCCTGCTACCGGTCTCCTTCCAGGTTTATTCATGATCAGCTCAATGCATGGAAATGGTTTCTAAAGTGCTCTACAGAATCTAGATAGAAAATACGAGACTAATCATCATGGCTACTAGTACTGGTTATGGTGATTGTGGCCATGGCCAGGATGAAGAATTATGACTGGGACAGGTCCTTTGGATGGTGTTACTCTGGTGAACTGGGCTGTAACTCAGGGCCTCACTAGCTCTCTGGGACATAGTGGGTACCCAGGCCTCCCTGAGGAACAGCCCAGGAGCTATGGCCTGGAGAGAATGTCACCTGGGGCGGGGGCCCCTCAGCAGAGTTCTGGCTCCCAGCCTGGCCTTGTCAGGCTCTTGGTTTCCCCAGTACACCCCCTCTTCTCCCCACCCTCCCCAGCCAGGGAGCTCCCTCACGGAGTAACGCTGGTCTTGACCTTGGCAAGCACCTTCTTCTCCTTGACTCGGCGGTTCTGAAACCAGATGGTGATCTGGCGCTCTGAGAGACTGGTGGCTGCAGAGATCTTGCGCCTCTTGTCCTTGGTGATGAACTTGTTAGCCGAATATTCACGCTCCAGCTCGCGCAACTGTCCCTTGCTGTAGGGAATGCGCTTCTTGCGGCCTCGGCGGAAGGCGCAGCTGTCTGGAGGGTGCTGCGTGCTTGAATCTGTGCGGTGGGAGAGGGAAGTAGAGAAAAAAACCTTCAGAGCCCTGCCTTTGAGCCCAGGTACAGACCCAGGCCCCACAAGCAGTTATCCTACAGGGACACTCAGGACACCCTGCTGGTGCACGTGTGCTCCCACTCCCCCACTGCACACAGGGACCCTCAACTTTTAGATGGTTCTCTGATTTCTCCTCAACCTTGAAAAGCCCAGGCTCCTACAGGCCACCCTCAACCCATCAGTGCCCTCACACCTGCAAGTCTGCAAACTCACCCTCCACACATGGCCATACCTTTGCTCACGGTCACATAGGTCTACACTCACATGCATTTTCAGACTCTTGGCCACTCATATATTCTATAGACAAATTCTGTACAGAAGGGGACAAGTTTCTGCCCCACTCCCTGGCCCCCTGCCCTCACCACACACACACACTCACCCCTACATGGTTGCAGGAAATCTAATTTTCCTTTGGAAAGTGAAATTTTCATCCAAGACAAAGTGAGGGGTTGTATTCTTTACAGAACATCCAATCTCTGTTTCGGCCCACCTCACACCTATACTGATGGAATTGAGTTACTTAGCCTTTTTGTAAAATTAAACTGGGATCTGCTGGGGAGAAACACCCTGCTCCCCATCCAAAAACAAAGAGCCAAACACTCAAACATATTGAAAAGCAGGTCTTAAGGCCTCCTAAGCAGATAGCATATAACTCAGGCCCCTCTGGCCTTCTGGGGCCTCCACCCAGGCTCTCCAACTGCTTGGATCCTCCTTCAGAATCCTAATAGCCAACGGAGGAGCACCAAGCTCTTCCTCACCAGCCCAAGTCTCTTTCCATTTCCTCCCAGTCAAATGCCAGCAGGGCCTACAACCCCACGCTCTCGGCGCCAAGGGGACTCAGAGAAGTGGGGGCAGGTTACCTGCAAATGCAGCCTTCCAGAAGGGACCTGGTGGGTTCTGTTCTCCCTGGCAACACATCTGGCTGTTCCAGCCACCGGTGAGGGCCCAGGGCTGGTAACTGTCCACAGGCAGCAGAGTGTCGTGGCGAGGCTCACCGGTGGCTCCCAGAGTCTGCACCACTGACACATCCAGGTAACTGGCCATAGGCTGATAGGGTCCCGGGTACCCGGGATAGAAGGCAAATTCGGTGGGGCGGCTGGGGTACTCCTCCCCGGCAGAGGGAGCCTCGGCGGGGTAGGCGGCTAGGGTGGCCGCCTGGGCACAGGGTTTCAGCGAGCTCCGGGACACTCGGCAGGAGTAGTACCCGCCTCCAAAGTAGCCGTAAGGCACCGGAGCTGCGGACGCTCCCTGGGGCACCCCGGAGCATGGGTGGCACTGCTTTGGCGGTTCTGCAGAGCCTGGCAGATCCAGGGGGGCGTAGTTGACAGCGGGCATCAGCGTAGGCGCGGCCGCTGGGTGGCTGGCCAGTGGGGAGTGGGCGACTAGATTCCGACTCCCTCCAGCTCCCAGCAAGCCTTCGATATCCTTGGCCCCGTCCAAGGTGGCATAATTGCCGGGCTCCATGGGGACGAGGGTCGGCTCATGGGGTGCTGGTGGTGGAGGATTCAGGGGGCACCCTGCTCGCTCTCCCCACCCAGGCCCCGGGAATCCAAAGCGTTTTAAATCGCTTCCAGCTCGCACGGCGCCTGCACCCGCTCGGCCTGGCCGTCCTGACGCAAGAGACGCAGGTGCCCGGGCACGCGCGCTGATTGGCTGCGGCCTGGGGAGAGAAGCTCATAAAATCTTCATGGCAGAAATTGCGAAAATACTTTACCCGCGCCCCAGTCTCTCTCTCTCTCTCCCTCTCTTCCTCCCTTCCTCCCTCTGTGTCTGTATCTCCTCTCTCTCACTCACTCACCCTCCGTCTTCCTCTCACTCACCCTCCGTCTCTCTCTCTCTCTTTTATTGCATTTGAAAACAAGAGAGAAAAGAGAGGAAGTGTTCTTTCGCTGCTTTCCAATTTGGAGCTTACCCAGCTCCGAGTCCAGGGGAGGGGAGAAGTGGGAGGCGGAGGGAGAAGGGACAAGGAGCCTGCCCCACCTCCTTCGCCTCCTCTCCCTCCCTGGCTCTCTGTCTCCTCTGCTTTGGCAGGTTTAACGAGAGAATAAAAAAGCTCTCCCTATAAAGTGTCCATCTCGTGGGGGAAGGGGAGTCGGGGGGTGGGGCCAGGAGGCCGCTCGGGGCCTGAAAAGGGAACCTGGGAATGCGTCTGAGCCAGAGGAGGCTGGGAAATGGAGATTTAAAAGTATTTCTGGGAGCCCCTTGCTTTGGATCCTGGATACTAGCATCCCAGTTCACTCCAGGTGTCTCTCACATCCTGGATGCACCCTAATAAGCTGCTCTGGGGCCCAGGGGAGTGCCTGGAACGCTTCTTCCCACGGGACCCCAGCTACAGTCTAGAAGTTGCTCCCGGTTTGGGGTGGAGCAGAGAGAGAGGGAGGGGACCACAAGCTCCAAAGGAAGAGCCTGGAACTCACAAAGTTCCTGAAGGGGAAGTGGAGTTTCTAGAAGTGGCCTATGAAAGGGGGTCTGGATTTCTGGTTAGGGGTGGGGAAAGAGACAGGGAAACACACACACACAGAACCTGTATATTCAGAGACAGAGAAAGGGAGAGGAGACCCAGGGAGGGCAGCACAAAGAGGGAAAGAGGGAATTTAAAGGAGGGGTTGGAAGAGGATCTTTTAAAATCTTATAAAATCCTGAAATTCCAGTCAGAACAGAGAGGCTTTCTCCCCCCTTTCTGGGATCTAAGGAATTTGGGGGAAGGCAGGCCTGGCTAACTGAACGTGAACTAGTTGCAGGGGTTCTAGATCCCAGGAATGCCCAACCCTGGCCTGTGTGAAGATGCCCAGACTCTGCCCTGCCATCGTCCTCTCTTCCAAGAGGCCCAGGAAACACCCTGGCACTGGTCCACTCCCACCCAAGCTAAGTGTCCACAAAGCCCAGGAACCCTATCTGCTTCTTCCAGGCTTTAAATATCCTTAGAAGGAAAAGGGAATGGGAGAGGAAGCCCAGAGCTCCGGAGGAGTTGCTTGCAGCCCCTCTGTTGGGGCCTATAGTGCAGTGCAAATTGGGAGGCTCAGATGATTGTTTCACAAATCTGTCTTCAGAGGTTTCCTTTTCCCTTCGCTACTCCCTAATCAAATCCTTCTAAGTCCACTTTTTCTAAAACCACCCCCCACCCTGCAAGGACAGGAATTTTTCCATTCTATGCCAGGGTCATGGCAGTTTTATAGAACAGACCACCCTGAGCTCTAGGTGGACCCAGCCACGCTCACTCACCTGAATCTGAACTTGAGCCATCTTTCGGGAAAGGCCCCGTGCAAACTGGAGTTGCCCCAAGCAGTAGGGCTGTAGTGGAGATTATAGATCACTGTCCATGAACATTGCTAATAATGGAAGACATCAAGCATGAAATCCTCACTAGGTTTTATTGTATTTGAAAACAACCTGAGAGAAAAGGAAGATGTCATTTCGATGCTTTCCAGTTTCTTATTATAACCATTTGTTTGTCTAATTATGAAAGACCGAAAGACCAGTATTTTTTACCTGAAGATTAAGAATTTTTCTCTGGTTTTTACTTGATAATTGACAGTACAGGCATGAATGGATTCCTACACTTAAAAATAATTTAAATCATATCCTATGACCCAGTAATTCCATTCCTAGGCATATACCCAACAGAAATGAATGTTTATGTCCATCAAAAGGCATGTACTAGAATATGCAAAGCATTTTATTCGTTAGAGCTCAAAAATAGAATAGAAACAATCCAAATGTCCATAAATAGGAGACTAGGTAAATAAATCATGATACAGTTAAAGAATGGAGTATTCCATGGCAATAAAAAAACTGCTACACATGGATGAATCACACAGATATGCCAGTGAAAGAAGCCAGACACAAAAGAATAAATTTGTAGGATTCTATTTCTATGCAGTTTAAGAAAAGGAAAAATTAATCTATGGTAATAGCCATCAGAAGGAAGTACCTTGGAAAGACGGACTCCTGATTGGGAGGCAACATAAGGAAGCCTTCTTGGGTGCTGGAAGTGTTCTCAAGGGCGATCTGTATTCTAGTTTCCTGGGTGTGATCACTTTGTGAAAATTCAAGCTGTACACCCACTGTTTCTGCACCTTACTGTACATCAGTTTTATTTCTAATTTTTAAATATGTAAAGATTCATAGCAATATTGCCTGCCACTGTGTTTTTGGATATGTAGTGTTATCCATGCCCATGAAAATAAGCAGCTAAAGTGCACGTAACTGCATCGTGCAGCACAGAGATGACCAACTCAAACTTTGTACTGGTGAAGTTCTCCAGCTATGCGGGAGACCCCTATGTAGGTACATTTCAATACAAATAAACATTATGGGTTTTTTGTTTCTACAATTTATTCAGCATCTTCTAGATCCCAGGGAATAGTTCTGGATATCATAATAATTAATATATGAGCTTGTGTTCCCATTTCCTGTACATGCATATTTATGTATGTGCATCTGTCTGTGACCTATCACAGACCTCAACTGGAGTCAGGGAAGATAGGATTAAGTCTCCTTATCTGTAAAAATTAGCTGTCTCCTTATGGGGACAGTAATTCCTACCCCACAGGAACGCTGTGAAGATGAAATGAGATTTTTGGCACATGAAAGTTTTTATAAACTGAATAAATATGACTTCTATTTTTCTTTTCATATGTGTAACTGTGTCTAATGAACTACAAGCCATCTGTTTTTATTTGAAAAGAAAAGGACAGTGGTCCTAAAGAGAACTGGTCAATTCTCATTTGCTTCTCTCAATCCCAGAGTGAGCTGGAGGTTCCCAGATAGGGAAACTGAGGCCTCAGATCCTCTAAATCCTCCGTGGCGCTCCACGTGAGTTCAGGGCTGAAGTCTCCGGGACAACCCAGGCATCGTACCTCCCAGCCCACGGGGCTGAGACAGCCCTTCCCCCCAGCCCCACAGATTCCTTTGTGTCCGCCTCCAGGACTCCTGAGCTCCCTTTACTGACCTAGCCAAAAGTGCTGAAAGCCTCAGCTGCTCCTTTACATACCGGCCAGACACCTCCAGGAAGGTCAAGGCCAAGTTGAAAGTTAAGAGTCTGTTTACCTCCGGGAGCCCATTCAGCACGGCCCCACAGACCGCCTGTGACCTTTACAGCCTGGCCTTTGAGCGCGGCCGCCGCGCCCCCGGGAGTTCCGGCCCCGGGAACTTGGAACCTCCTTGTCAGCTCCCGCCCCCGCCCGGGCTCGGACCCGTGACGCGGGGGAGGGGGCGAGAGGCACCCACCCGCCCCACTTGGGCCATTTATGAAATTATATATCATTTTTGTAAAGCAAGGTGAGTGCCCACTGCCTTCGTTCTCCCAGCTGGAACAATGTAGGTGGTGGCGACGACTGCGGGCCCCCAGGTCGTCGGTGATGAATAATGAGAATTTATTTGCAGGGGCGACGCTTCCCTTTCTGGAAACGTCTGGGCTCCGCCGCCCAGCCAGACTGCGCCGGCCTGGCTAAACGGCTTGGAGTCGCTTCCTTTATGAAAATGGCCTAATTGGGGGGTGCGCTCTTTTCTTCCTTTCTTTCATCTCTTCTTTCTTGCCGTCTGCATTGTCTCTTATCTGTCTTTAGTCTCTTGGTATCTTTCTTTTTAAATATATATTTATATTTCTCTTTCTGCCTTTCTTTCCTTCAATTTTAGTTATCTTGCTTTTTGTGCGTTTGTTCTCATTTCTTGTTTTTGTCTTTATTGCATACTTTCTGCCCCCTGCCCCAACCACTATTTTTCCTTCAGTTACTTTCTCCCTGTCACTTACACAATTTTTTTCTTGTTTGCTTCATCCTCTCATTTTCTTCCTTTCGTTTTCTCTTTTTTCCTTCCTCCTTTTCTGTCTTTCCCTCTCATCTGTTTTGCTGTTTCTCTCTTACCTCATTTTTGCTTTTCTCTACTCTTGTTCTCCCAACCCTCATCCACGTTTTGCCTTTCCGGCCCTCTCATTTTTCCATTGTTCTTCTCCGAAGTCTGGAAAGGGCCTGCGGGGCTGTAGCTCTCCCTTCGCCGGAGAAGCCTGTAGGGCAGCCTGGAGCAGTGTCGCTGGCCCGGAGCCCTGCCAGCAACTAGGATGGCCCGGCCTGGCTGGGGATGAGGCAACCCAGCCCTTCTCCGTGAGATGAAGTCAGGAGGGCCTCTCCTGGCCTTTGAGAAAAATCTTTGGGACAAACTGATGGCGGGGTCCAGGAGCTACAGGAACCAGAGATTGGGAGGCACAGCTTGTCAGGAGGCTGCCCTCTCTGTCCCTCTCACCCGGGCAATCCTGGGACATCCTCTGGATTAAGACATTCTCAGGACAAACCCAGCTGCTTCAGAGATGGGGGCCAAGGGACACAGCTATGAAATTAGACAGTTGTGGCTTCCACTATGGGACAAGTGGATCTGAGGTGCAATCGAAAGATGATCTGCTAGTGGGAGAGGATAGCTCCGACCACACAGCCGCTGCTGCCTGCTCTGATGGCTTCTGGAAATGGGAGAGCACTTAGCCAAGCCCAGGTACTGTGAGTGGGTTCCGGAGTGGAGAGAGGGAGGGAGTGATGAAGGGGGGCCAAAGGGGGCCAAAACAGGGTTGCTGAACAGAGACTAAAGGCCTCCAGTCCTCTGTCTCTGCAGCTCTGGGTCAGAGCAAACTGTCTGCTCCTTGCTTACCATTTGTGCAGTGTGCTGAGTTGAAAGGCCCGCTGTCGCCAGAGTCGCCAACCCTCTCTTCCCACCCTGGGCTTTGCTGGGGAGGCTGATCTCAGTTATCCACCCCCTGCACCCAACCCAGAGAAGCCCTTCCTGGATCTGGCCTAAATCATTAGGAATTTGGGGCTGAGACTACAGAACACAAGTCTTATGCTAGGTTTTGTTAAGGCTACAGTGTTTCATGGTTATTTTCCCTCTCTGCACCTCTGTATTCCTATCTGCCCTGTGTAAGGCGGGAAGGGCCAGACCAACCAGTTGCTCCTTAAGTCTATATGTGAGTTCACTCTGGGCACAGAATGGCCTGCAAACAGGCAGGAGCAGAGAAGGGAGCATTACTGGAGATCAAGGGTGTTAGTGTGGAGGAAACAGTGGAGGGAGCCAGAAGGAGGCCACTAGGCTTGCCCACTAATCATTCCACGTGGAGCCAGGGTGGGGCACAGTTATTAGGTCCTTGAGGGAGCCCAGCCCTGTGACCTGGTCTCTGTGGGGCAACTGTCACGGGCTGACTCAGTTGGGACAAGCAGCCCCAGGGTGTAAACTCCATAGCAGCTCATTAAATTGAACCAAATCAGTGCAGGAGATCCTCCACCTCCACACTATAATTCCCTGAGGAGCCCTCCTAGCCTTCCCTACCATACACACACTTGGAGGTAGAGAAACAGGGGTGGGATGCCAAATGGGGACATGCAACCAATGTCTTTGGTGTCTGCTGGTGTCTGCAGCAGCTAGCTTCCTTTGGTCCAACCTCTGGGATCCTGGGTGGGACTTGGGAATAGGGAATATTTCAAAAAACCTACCTCCAAGTTCAAGAAAGCAATCTGAGTCACAAACTCTCCCTCCCCCATCTCCACCTTGTTTTTTCCCTCTAGGAATGTGGATGTAGGTGATAATTATCAGGATAAATGCTGGTTACTCTCAGGGCTGCTGCTCTATAGACCCTGCTAGAGACAAAGACTGAGTTTTCACTCTTGAAATCAAGAGGAATATCTGTACCAAGGCTCTGGCCCCTAGAGTCCTAAACCCAACTATTTGGTTTGAAATGGAGCTGTAGGTTTGAGGCTTAGAGGAGAGTACAGTTTGAGATATTTGATTTCTTGCTCTGACTCCATTTCTCTTGCTGAGAGGCCTGAGACCCTTCCAGTGGCCTAGAACTTCACCATCCTGTGGCCCACATCTCTCTCTCTCTGTCTCTTCCTCAACCCCATAGCAAATGCTTTTTCCTTCTCTGTCCACTAAGTTATCTGTTCGAAGAAACAAAGTTGGGAGAGAGAAAGGCAAGCATTTCATACACACACACGATGAAGCAAAGAAAAATGTCCCATATTCCATGACTTCCAAACTTGTCCTGTTCATGCTGCTCGTAGTTCCTGTCTTTGAAGGTGCATACTAAGATGGGAGGGAAAGTTGCCACAAACAACTACCTCCTTAAGATTCAATAGAGGCTTGAAAATAACTCTAAGAGTTGTTTTGGCTGTTCACACACACACACACAGACACACACAATCTGCCTTCCTGAAGCCCCTGCCTCAGATGTACTTCGGAGGACAGTCTATCTTAGCCAGGCCCCTCATTTCTCACTTAGGCAGGCCCTGGCCAGCTATTTACCACAGACCCCAACAGCCTATGAGGCTGGAGACTCTGACTGACTGTCTATAGCCTGTCTACAATGACTCTGAATGTGCAGAGCTGATATTGGACCATGGAACCCCTTTGTCAAAGTGAGATTTGGGATTGGAACAGAGCTGAGGCTTATAATAGGTCTTGGCTCTGGACTGCTTGGGCTTAAACTAGTACTTCTCCAGGCTCCTCAGAGGTTTTCTAAGAGTTATGATAGAGTAATGAAGTGTCTTTCAATTTAAATTGGAAAATTGCCTGCCAAACTTTTTTTTAATAATATGAATCTCCATAGACTTTACAGCTTTGTCCATGATTGGAGGGGATTATAGCTGCTATTGGCCCCGGATGCCAGAAATCTTCCTCAGAGAAATGAAGATCTTTGCTCTCCTTGCCCCACCCCCATCCCAAGTTGCTTTTATGGCTGGGGTAGGGCTTGGGAGGAGATTCTGATCTTGGAGGCTACTGCATAGAAACTAACACCAGGGACTAAGGATCTAGAAGTTTAAAAGGACAGAAAAACTTCCTTCTATGAAATCCTTAATTAGGGCTATCTCTGATTGGAGGATATGCCGGGCTCCCCTTTCTCTTTTCTGCTTTTGAAGAATAGGAAGATCCGATTCCTTGTTACCCAAACTGGTCAGTTGGTATGTGGGTTGGAAAGATCATTAGCGATCATCAGTTCTAGCCAGCTATGTGCTCAAGTGGCTGGATGGCAGATGCTGAAGGAAAGATGCTGTCTTCCCAAGTCGGAATGAATTGACCTCAGGAAAACAATAGCCAGTTCTGTGGCTCTGAGCTGCTGGAGTGGGAGCAGAAGAAGGGATGAATAACACAGAAGGTAGACAGTGTTGGAACTTCCAGGGATGTCCTGAGTGTCCCTCTCCTTGTCTCCCCAGGAGAGTCCCAAAAGTCAGGCAGACTGGAGCATGAGTATGTAGATCATCCACAAGTTCGTTCCACGTTTAACCAGATCCTCTGGGGCCAAAGCTTGGTCACAGGGGCACCCCCTTCCAGGCTAAAGGATTGCTAGTCTGTTTGTTCCAGCTCCGTTAGGCAAGGCCAGGACTCCCAGTTTCTTATTCCTAAAGTCAGCCTGGAAACCTTCCCTAAGAATAAAATGCATTTCCAGGAGCCCACATAGAGGCCTACGGAAGTCATGGGAAGCAGACCCCATCTCTTCATGCCCTAAAATCTCTCAATAACCCAGGATTATGGGCACAGGTCCAGCCCAGATCTCCAGCTGTCTGCATGTGTGTTTGGGAACTGATGTGGGTAAGGACTGGGCACATCTGGCCTCGAGTTGGAATCCCCCACACCAGTCAACCTTGGGCTCTGCTTCATTTGTCCCCTGCCTGCCCCATCTGCACAGTTTTACTAGCCTTAGGAATCACAGTCCCAGGGGTGCAGGCCAAACCTTGGCCCACAGGAAGCACAGATGGACCGTGGACAGTCCCGCAGCCCAGGGCCCTTCCTGGCCTGAGATCCATACATTTTAGGTGAGGTAGGCTACTCCCACCAGATAGAATTCATTGGAACGAAGGGGACCCAAGGACTTTCTATCAAGATGAGGGGCGGCCTAGGACTTCTCCCTTTTATCCAAGAGTCTTAATTCCCTTCCTTCCGCGTGTGTGAACACCTGGACGGGCAGATTTTTCAGTGTTGCGACGGAAGACACCGCACGCAGCGAAGTTTACCCACCGGCTCTTGGACGGCAGAGCGGACCCGCAGGCGTATGAGGTCTCTAACCTCAGACGGTGCAGCTGGGGAGCGTGAAAGCCGCCTCCCAGACCTCCCTTTCACCCACCCACACACCGCCTCAGTGCCAGAAGGCGCACCCTGCCCTCCAGGGGTCCTTCTGAGGCGGAGGTTCCACCTCAAGGCGGAACTCCCCGCTGGTTCAAAACCTGCTTTTCAGCGACGCGCTGCCGGCTGCCCAATCCGGGTTTTCCAAGCAGCGGTCCCTGGACGCTGCTTTGGCCAGCACCTCGCGCCCACAGATCCCTCCACCCCTGTCCCGTTGCTCCTCGGGCTAACTGGGGCGGATACTTCAAAATCCTCACACACACCAAAACCGAAGGGCCGAGGACCGTAAGTGCCCTGTATGTACCTTTCATTCAGTCCTTACGACAGGACCCTGTTAGGGGGGCGATTGTTACTCCTGTTTTGTAGATGAGAAAACTGAGGATTGGGGGATTAATTTGCCCAACTTCTAGAGGCTGCTGAATAAGTGCCTGCTCCAACACCGGGCTTTGCCGCACCCGAAGCCGGGCTCTTCCTATTTCACTTTCTTTTCTCTATTCAAATACCAAGTCGTTTCCAATTTTTTTAATGGAAATAAATCTCATTAAAAAATACAAAGTGACACTAAAAATATACCTAAGATATTTGGACGTTAATTAAACCGAAAGGGGAAAAAACAAATTGCTTTGGGGATAATAAAATGTCTCCAAAATAATGGAACCTTCTGACACACATTTTTGACCAGTGACCCCTAAAACTACCAAGATGCAGACTAAGTAAGTTAACACACCCACACCCACCCCACTCCTGCCACTCTGTTTCACTTTGGAGCTGAGTCCATATGAGTGACTGGGAGCTCTATGTGGAAATTTTCATCTATAGGTGAATCAGCTGAAACCCCAACTCCTTAACCTCCAATGGCCTTGTTGCCCACACCCACAGAACTGCAGAGAAGAAAACATTGTGGGAGCCATCTGGTGCTAAAACACTCTGTCCTCTCCCTGGGGAAAAATGGTTTAGTGAGCCTGAAGATTCTGAACTTGATTCCATGGAGGTCCTCAAAGGCTCACCCCTTGAAACGGATAGTGAAAGTGTGTGTGTGTGTGTGTGTGTGTGTGTGTGTGGTGTGTGGTTTGTGGTTTCCTGGGATGTGAATCCATGGCTTTATTGACTTGTTTTCTAGTGGCAAATTTCATATATACAGAAGAATATAAGACCCATCATTCAGCCTCAACAGTTATCAATTCACGACCAATTTTATTTCAATTTCTTTCTGGAATATTTTAAAGCAAATCCCAGACATCATTTCAAAATACTTCAGTTTGAATCTTTAACACATTAGGATGTTTTTTTTTCTTTTTTTCTTTCTTTTTAAATAGAACCTCCAGGTGATTATCACACATAACAAAATTAACTACAATCCCTTAATACTATCCACATTTCGTTTCCTCGGTTGTCTCAAAATTGACTTCTTACAATTACATTTGACCCTTAAACAACATGGCTTAACTGTGCAGGTCCACTTATACACATATTTTTTTTAAATTAAGAGATTGGAAAGTTTTTGGAGATTTGTGACAACTTGTAAAAACACTTTCTTTTTTCTAGCTTAGCTTAGTATAAGAGGACGGTATATAATGCATATGACATACAAAATGTGTTAATCAATGGTATGTTTTTGGCAAGGCTTCTGGTCAACAGTAGGCTGTTAGTAGTTAAGTTTTGGGGAAACCAAATGTTATACCCAGATTTTTGACTGCATAGGGGTCAGCGCTGCTAAGCCTCTCATTGTTCAAGGGTCAGCTGTAATTTGTTCAAAATCATGATCTAAACAAAGTCCACAAATTACATTTAGTCAATATGTCTCTTAACTTTCTCATAAACTGCAACAGTTTCCTCCTTTCTTTTTTTTCATGCCATTTGTTTTTTAAAAACCTGGGTCCCATGAATGGACTAATAGTTACCAAAGGGAAAGGGACTGGAGAGGATGGGTGGGAAGGGAGGGACAAGGGCGGGGGAAAAAGAAAGAGGGAAAAAAAAAAAACCTGGGTCAGCCCAGTTCCCAAAGGTATTGATCATCCCTACCCCCCCAACCAAACTCTATGTTGCTCTATGTTGGACCAAACAACTTATTTTTACAGGCTCCCACCCCACTGTCCACTGCAGCCAGTGTGCACAGGATGGCTGCATGGTTCCCTCTGCTCCCTCACAAAGAAGATGCAGCCCCTGCCCCACATCATGACTCCCCTTGGTTCCCTTGTTGCTCTTGAAATGGGGGATCTCCCATCCTCTCCTACTCCCAGGCAGCCAAAAATGGAATCCTCTGATGAATCTTTGGGTTTTCCAGGTTTCAGTGAATGTCAAAGCCTGAATACACAGCTCCAAAACTAGAGGCAAGATTGCTGCCACTGGGGCAGGACTGTCCAATTTCCTTCCTTGAGGATGTCCCCAAAGGCTTCCATGCTTCCCAAGAGAACCAGAGAACATAGTCTGTTTCCCAAGTGGAGCAGCCAGACTAGCTGTACTATCTCATATTCTCTCCTGCGCCTAGGGCAGCATTGACATGGGGAGCTTGAAATGCTGCCCTGCTCTGGCACATGGTACCTGCTATGTGTCCTTGGGCTGGTCATCTCCTCTCTCTGACTCTCAATCTCCTCATCTGTAAAGCAGTTGTCTCTGCCCAACCTTCCACACAGGGCTGCTTGGAGACAAAGATGAGGGAAGTGGAGATTGTAAAGGGTTTGACGTGTATGTAGCTAATGAGTTGTTTCTCTCAGAGTTGGTGGTGTCAGATGATACAGTGAAGATTTCTGCTGGGGGAAGAGCAACTAGCCTACAACCGTGTTACATCCTCATGTCTGTGGAGAAGACACCCCTGTACAACATGTCCCGCAAACTAGAAGACCTGAGCTTGGTTGTGCCGTCAGAGAAGCTATGACCTCTCAGCACAGAGAAGAGTACCAGGGTGCCCACTCCTCTTTCCCAGGAACTGCCAAGGAGCCAGGAGCCAGGACTGTCTCATCTCTGAATCCCCCCTCCACTGCCACACCCCTTCCCTCTTTCCAGAGCTCCCAGTCACCTCGAAGCCCCAATTTATCTCCAGGAGGAACCCAAAAAAACACTGGCTGGGCCCCAGGTACAGAGCTGAAGGGGGTCCAGCCCAGCTGCTATGAATCAGCTCTACCCTTCTGTGAGCCAGTGCAGAATGAAGTGCACACATCAGTGAAGAGTCCTCACATTTCTCATTTCCAAACTACACCTAGCTCATAAAAAGCATGCGAATGTAATAAATTCTCCCCTGCAGGACATGGTTTTAATTAATTATTGGATGATTCAAGGTGACTCATGTGTGAAACACAATTTGCCCTCGTAAACTGAATCTCACATAATCTATCCTGAGTAACAGGCTGCGTATTCCCATCTGAGACTTACACAAAACTTACGTTTATCCTTCGAAAGTCTAGTGGTGAAATAGATGTGTGACTTTAGCCTAAAGAGAGCTCACTCAACCAGCTAGGGGTACTAAGAGACTGAGTGTAAGCACACTCACACATATGCATTTATCTTTTTTAGTCACTTGTTTTACAATATCTGCAAAGGACATATGAAGCCATCTTATCACAGAATAGACATTGATGCTGAATTTTGCTTCAGCCCCCAGCTGCAGCTCCTTCTGTTGCTGGGGCCTCTGAAATCCGGTCTTTATCATCCAAGGCTCATATTTGCCTTACATCACAAGGTTTCCACTGTGCAGCATGGAATAGCTCTTGTCTGGGATTTATACTCCTTTCTAACTTAAAAGCCCTTTCCTCCAGGCCTCACATCTACAAAAACAGGCTCCTTCCCAGAATGACTGCAGGATCCTTATAGAGCCATCAGTACTGCAGGGCTGGTCCACAGAGCCAGGGAATCCATATTTTTTAAACCTTTCTGAGATGGTGGGGTTGGGAAGCCATTCATTTAAAGAGAAGCTGGAGATACAGTTGTAGGGGGCAGTCTGGGTACTCTGGGCAATGACACCTGTTTGTTAGTCTCCTTCCCCAGACCAAGGCGGGACAGAGTGAGGGGATGGGGAGGGTGGAGGGGGTGCTCCAAGACCCTCTTTGAGTCTCCCCCACCCAGAGTTCAACCAGAGAAGGGGTGGGAGGCTCTGGCATTGTGTCTGGGTTTATGCCCCAGAGAAAAGTGGGGGTCTTGGGGGAGAAGAAAGGAAAGGGCGATTCAAGGAAACCCAGCAGCCTGGCTTATTTTCTGTTTAGTCTTTGGCCCCTGAGTTGGGTGTGGAAGGCCTTGCCAGGAACCCTGCTGTAGCCAGTTCTGAGCTAAGAAAGGCCTCCTTCAGCTTTTTCTTTCTTCCCCCTACCCCCTGGTTTTCTTTTCCCTTTTGCCTCCTTTAATTTCCTTCCTTGATTTGGATGCCAGAATGTATTTTTTTTGTAAAAGGGGGGCTGGATTCCAAACACCACTCAGTTCCCTCTGGACCCCAGAACTTTGTCCTGGCTGGTCCCTGCAGTCCCTCAGGTGCTTCCAAATGGTGGGTGAAGCCTGTGTCTTGGCTGGAGTCTGAGCCTGGAAATTTTGTTTTCCGCTCATTGGCCTGGCCAAAGGGACTCCAAACTGAAACAAAATATAATCCTCTTCCCTCCCTGGCCCACTCAAATTTTCAGTTTCAAGAGGAAAGAAATTTGTTTCAAAGTCTGTGGGAATCTCAGTTAACACAGGCAGTGGCAGGGTCACCCTCCCCACAAAGACAAACCTGTCTGCTCCATAAGGCATTCTGAACTGCCCCCAAACACCTGCCTGGAAAAAGATTCACAGACAGCATCTGTGTCCTCACACACACATGCTCTGATTGAGCCTTTGAACGAGCCAATTAACCAGTGACAGGCCATCTCTCATCAGAGCTGAGGGACTGAATCCAGAGGAAACTCCTAGAGAAAGGGATGCAGTCTGTGACAGACAGGCAGACAAGTGGGAGCACATAGAAGAAGAGGGACGGAAACTGGAGTTAAATTCGGGCATTTCAATGCACACAGAACAGAGGGGAAGTCCTAGCAAGCTGGACAGGAGGGCCACAGGGCTGGGATCGTCCAGAACCCGTGTTGAAGGACACAGATCACCCAGCCCAGCACCCACTAAGCTGGCTTTCTAATATGCCAAAACGATCAGCCAGCTTGGCCAATTCCGTGAGAAATCAGCCAGAGCCACTATTTGGCTTTACTTCCACCAAACAAAAGTCGATTGGTTAGACTCCTCACTTTCTCTGAGTTAACTCCATGGGGAGTTGCTTAGGACCCCTTTGCCCTTATCTAGGAGTAGACCACACACACACCCTCTACACCCATGGGGGGACTCTTTCCTCTACTGACTGTTGGAGAGAAAGAGTTCTGGTTGGCTACTTATAAACAAAGCAACCTAGAGTGATCCTGAAGTTGTAATCAACTCTAATCTCTTTGATCAGGTTATAGGCCAAAAGCAGGACCAGAGACCCATCCAGTTTTAAAGTCTCCCAAAGCCAGTGCATTTTTGTTTTTATTTTTATTATTAGTCTTATTCTTGGTCATCTTCTCTTGCTTGGTGCAATAGAACCACAGCCCCACCTACACCAATAAAGCTGGAGCATTTAGGCAGATTCCAACTGCCCCCTCCCCCACTCCCATTTTAACAATACAGTCAAATGGGGAAGGGGACAGGATGCGGTGGGGACAGGAATAAGATTCCAAGGGCCCTGCTGGGATGACTGATTTTTGCTTCACCTGGCAGTTTCTCTGGAGGAGACCAAGCACAGGCAGGAATCCCCAGGAGGGAGAGAAAGGAGTAAAGGGAGAAAATTGCTTGTTTGGGGTAAATCCGGTCAGTTTATAATTCCTGTCATGTTTGGACCAGTTTAGTCTCTGAGGGGCCTCTCTTTGAGGAGACAGCAGAAGCTTGGGAGGTCGGCTTGCTGGGTGGGAGCTTCCTGTCCTCCAGCAGCTCCTCCCCTAGTCCAGATGCTCCTCACTTGCTACGTGGGCCACACTTACCTGACCGCTTCCCCTCACACAATTCATCTTCCAGCCTTGCCAAGGACCTTGCTGACCAAGAAACCAACCCCAAGAACTTGACCTAATGCCAGCAAATCTTTTTAATCGTTCTGTGCCTCAGTTTCCCTATATATTTTTTTAACACAAGAGATTCTGAACACAGCTGAGCTGCCGGTCTAGTAGGGAAAGGGAGGATTTGGGCAAATCTGTAGGAAGAGGGTTTGATCCCCAGACCCATGTCTGTCTTGCACGGGTTGGAGATGGTCGCTGGTCACCCGAGACACAGAGGACCGGCTCCCAGAGTTGCCCCAACCGAAGCGTGTGGGAGAAATGGACCCACAGGCGCCCGAGAGGTCGCCTGGCTCTCGCCCCACGTTCTCCCGGGCCCTGGCTCAGTTCAGGGGAGGGGGGGTAAGAACCCCAGGCCCACCAGCTTCCTCACCAAATATTCGGATAACCCGCACAAGGGGCCAGACGGTCTTGAATAATGCACAGTTGCCAATCTAACTCGGTGAGATTGCCCGGAAGCGAGCCCAGCGGTCGGGTGGGTGGAAGGGTCGGGGAAGACGGGGTCCTTGCTGCAGCCCTCCAACGCTGGCCTGGGCGTCGGGAGAAGCCACAGAGGGGTGCAGTGGGAGGCCTTTCCTTCAAGGAGCATTTCGTCCCGTCGGGTGCATTGCAAGCTCTGCCCGGGCTCCGTGCCCAGATGCCCCGGGGTCCTTCCGGAGTCGCCCACCTCGGCAGCTTGCATCCGCGGGCTCCTGCTGCTGGGTGGCGGAAGCCGCATCTCCCAGGGCAGGCTCCGCGGATCCGCGGGAAGAAGTCCAAAGATCCACACAGCCAGCCGCCCCGCAGGCGCCGGGAGCCCCCGAAACAGTACCTGTATTTCAACTTGAAAATGAACTGTTCAGAGTTGCGCCTTTTTGGTCTGAACGGTGAAAATAAGTTCACCTTTTCACTTGTCAGTTGGGGATCTTGGCCATGTAGACCAGGTCTGGGAGCTAAAAAAAAAGTTAGTACCCACCCCGATGCCAATGAAAGCTTTTTATCCGGACTACCAGCTAAATACCTGCTTTAAGCATTGTTTTCGTTGAATTAAACTCTGATAACTTGCTTTGTAGACCAGGTCTGGGAGCTAAAAAAAAAGTTAGTACCCACCCCGATGCCAATGAAAGCTTTTTATCCGGACTACCAGCTAAATACCTGCTTTAAGCATTGTTTTCGTTGAATTAAACTCTGATAACTTGCTTCAGAAAAAAAATACTTTATTTTTAAAAATTTAGTCAGCAGTCTGATTTTTATTCGTTCTAATTATCTGAGAAGTCCGCTTTTAAATTGTTATGAAGACTGTAGATCAGATCTTAGAAGCAGAAATGTAATTCGTTTTTAATTTTTCTGTGTTTGCAAAGTTTCCATAATAAACTTACGTTACCTATATAAGTAAAAATAAATGCTATTAAAATACATTTTTAGATTGAATTAAATTTAAAAATTTAATCTCTTTTTAAAAAATAGGTAATGAATGCTAAAAGAAGAATTCAGAGGTTACAAAAGGGTATATATTGAAAACAAAAGTAGTTCTTTCAGCTTCTTACCTCAATTCTCTTTTTCAGAAACAACCACTGTGCTCAGAGTCGTATGTAACCCCACAAATACAGTCCTTAAGACAAATGGCAGCAAATCATACGTAGATTTGTATTTTATTTTTTTGATGCATTAACGGTGGCATTATATCTTCACTAATACTTCCTTTTTTTTAGTAGATTCACTTGGTGCAATAATCTATTTAACCAGGCGACTATTGATCGATATTTAGATTGTTTTCAATTTTCTCTTCCTTTTTCTCTGCTCGTGTACATAATATACACTGCTCTGTGTATACATGCAAGTGTGTTTGTATGATAAATTCTTAGAAAAGGGCTGTATTAAAGGCTTTGTGCATCTTTAATGTTCACCAATGTTGAACCGATTTTCATAATGTTTAAAGCAATTTGTATGTCTTTTTTTCAGAGAACTGTTCATGCCCTCCCGTTTTTCTATTTTTTTTTTGTTGCTCTAGTTTCTTACTAATTTGTTTTATGATATTTTACTAAAATGTGAAATTGCAGTTTTCGTTTTGTCAGTGGAGTTATACTGTGACAGAGGATTTAAAGTTTATTCACCTCTACTACTGGAATTTTCCCAGCAATTTTTTCCTGGAGGTGGAAAACAGAATGGAAGGAATGGGGTGTAGGTTTCAGACTATTGCCCACTTGGATTTTCTCTTGTGGAATTCCATCATTA